ACCCATGAACGAGGTGCGCAAGTGATTCTTTTTCAAGGGAACAGAAACGACACTTGTCTGATGTATCGAGAGCCGCCGCAAAAAGTCTATCTCTGGTCAGCGTACATCCAACAAGCAGCGAGTGGAAATGGCTTTCCGCCGGAGAATCTTCACTTTTCTGCAGTTGGGAGAGCTTGCGGAGGCCACAGGTCAAGTCAAAATGAAGAATCCCTGTCGGGGCACGGGAGTCTTTCCTGCGCTGATTTGAAGTCTCAACATTTGCGACGCGCAAGGCGCTGCAGGAGGGGTTTGAGATCCTTTGTGGAAAGATCCCACACCGGCATCAGCTGCTTTCCAGCAAAGCTGACCGTCAACGTGTCAGACAGGCTGAGGCCCAAAAAGAGAAAAGCTTGCTGGACTCGGTGCACAAAGCTCTGTTCCGAGGGGGAGTGCATTGCACACCACTTGCGTTTCTCAAGCCGACCACCTGGCATTCGAAGAAACCTTAAAGAAATTCCAAGATAGTATGATAAGCTCTAGCGCAATGCTGATCATTCTGATGTGGCTTGGTCAGAAAAGCCATTACCAGACCTCTAGCCCTCCAATGGGGACGACGACCCCAAATGGTCTGTACAATTTCCGACTGGATCTTTTTGGCAGCTTCTTTCGGAATCTGATTGATGGAGGCAGCAAAACAGAACCGTTGTATTACCGTAATCCCGATGAACATGGCTTTGATCTGGGCAGAGAGAGGGAGAGCCTTGATGTGCTTGATTTCTTTCGCAATTGCTTGCGTTTTTGATTCTGGGAAATAGAAAGCAAGCCGTTTGGGGGACCGAAGCACCAAGCACTTCAATTTCCAGTTGTAACACCATGTCCGGCCAAAGGGCTTTACACACCTTTCTTGCTTCAGTGGAAGTTCCCCATACTACGCATTTTGAGTCATTCAACAGTTGGAAAGTTGGTCCCAGTAGCGAGTCATGTCCACTGCCATGGCGAGCACTCTAGCATGTTCAAGCCTGGCCCAGAGGTAGGCATTGTCGATGTACGCCATAGCAACAATTTCAGGCAACAAGTTCATGAAAATGACCCAAACCTTTGAGTAGACATTAATAGCGACCAGGGAGAGACTATCACCTTTCGCAATTCTGTTAGCTGCATGGGTAGCCGTCGGAGAGCACCAGCATTTAAACGAAAGGTGTCTGCGCAGCCCATCATATAATTTTGTGAAGATGGACACTAGTCTGCGATCAATCCCAAAAGCTAACATCAGACAAGCAGCAAAAGAAGGGATGATTCTATCAAAGCATTCAGCTTTATCCAGCTTAAGGACAATGAGATCATACCCTTCCGAATTGGCAACATCGATGTCTAATTTAAGATGAGTCTGAATACTTGACATATTGCGTCCTTGGACTCCACCGACGAGCTGCGCTGGCATGGCCTGAATTTGCCATCCACGTAATTGTCTAAATCTAGCCCCTGAAAAAGCTAGGTACGGAACTGGTAACACCGTGATAAGGCGTTTCTGCATTGGACGCGCTGATCCATTCTTGTTCAAAATCATTTGACGGGCACACGTCAACGTGGTTGGCAATGGGTCATCAGAGACCTCCAGCTGCGCGAACACTTCCGCAAAGGGGCGGAAACAGGCTTCGGGGAGCATTTGGAGCTCTTGAGTGCGCCATATCCAAGCCTGGCGCCCCGTTGGTTGCGGGAATCGGGGTTCGGCCTCGATCGCGCAGCGGACATGCTTGAGGGCATGTTCGGGGAGGCGGCCCGCCTGGGTCAGCTGGACAATGGAGTGTGTAAGTTTTCAACTTACTGCTCCAGTGTCTGTTGCTCCTGTGGTACGCCACGGCCGGGACCCTTTGTCGTATGGCTCTGAGGAGAACCTGCGACTTGCAATTTTGTGACCTGTTGGTCACCGAATTCTCCGCTGGCGCTTGCTGCGGAGCTGGAATGCTGCCCTGTCGTTGGCGCGGCCAAAAGGTTGCGCGCGCATTTGCGTTTGCCTGATATATGTGTCCTATAGAGTCAGAGATATAGGACGCATATATATATATATATATGTATCTCGTTTGGATAAAAATATGTCACATATAGATAATGTATATACAGTTTTTACGTATATAAACAGTCTTGTGAAAACCAGAAGTTGGGCGCAGTTGTATAATAATCCACTTGCGGAATGATGTATATACATATTTACCTGAGGTCACGCGCGTGTATTATTAAATATAAGACACACATGCGGTATGGAAACACGAAAAGAGCATGCTTGACTTACATCAAAAATTAAAAGACGCATATAGACAAAGTACACACTCAGCGGGTCTTATACGTATATATATATATATATATATGTATATATATAAATATATAAGCGTGCGCTTTTAAGGAAGTATATAGTCTCTCCGTATTTACAATACGTCTATAGCGGCCTGGTGCCCCATCTTGCTTAAAATCGCACGCGCTCACAGAAAGAATCAAAACCTTCAAAAACACAATGTTCTATTTACCGTCGCACTTGTGCTACTTATTCGGTAAGGTCCACAAGTATCATAAGTATACTTATGTTACGTAAAAGTATAAGTAGCGTAACAGGACTCATAAGTAAAAAACATCTTGCGCACAAGGGCATATCTCCAGCTGGGCAAATCCTCGAGATCCTCTTCATAGGAGTGGATGGAGTCGTGCTTGTCGTATCGCTCATACCATCTATACATCAATGCCCACCCACACATGAACTTGGCCTGCGGGAAGAGGTCAACAAAGAGATGGACCATCCTCATCGTGGTATCGAGGCGCCGACACAGGATGGAAGCCAGGACATACGCTGTTGCTGCATCTAGGCCCAAAACGGTGAGGCAGATTGAATCTCCAGTGCGAGTGATCACATCCCACCCAATGGCATTTGATGAGAACAGCAAGCCAGGTAGTCGCATCCTGCAGAATGTCCGGGAATTGAAAATGACTTTCATCAAAACCAGATTCTTCACCATCCCAAATAAGCACCGCAAAACCACTGCATCGCAATGCGGTTTGCTGGAGCAGCCAATCCATCGCATAGATCAGTTCATCTGAGGCACAGCGTCCTTCAGTGTGGTTGCTGAAGCGGCATCGTTCTGAAAGATTGGCACCGCGACGAAGATGCCATACAGTGTCCTCAGGCTGATCAATCAGCGGGTGACCACCTGCAAATACATGATTGGCATTGACAGTGGCTCTCAATTCAGGATCCCTGTGGACAACTGAAAGGATATCGCCATCCTGACATGTATGAGACTGCGTGCTGCCAAGAGAAAACCCGTTGACCCGCAGAATCTCAAAAGACTCCCCATGGATCAATCACATGGAAGTCGACATGCTTGGATAGGTTCTCAACAATGATGACATTGTCCTCACCGTGTGTCGGGAGCAAGACCCACCATTCAGAATCCGGAAGCCGAATCGAATGCCCGGAAAGCTTCTGAAGCGAACAATCCAGAAAGCCCTGATCTCGGAGAAAAATCTGAACACTCTCGAGGCTATGCTGATCAAAGACGCGTGTGAGAATGGCAGTCGGCGGCTCCTTCCAAACCAGCGCAACCGGATCTTACGGGCCTTCGCCATCAAAGATGTTGGCACCGAGGGCGGCCTCAAAGAAGTTCTGCACTCGAAGAGAACCAGCCGAATGGACAGTCGTAGCAGTGCTTGTCGCCGGGATCTCAATGGAGCTCAAGATCGAGGTTGGAACAAATGGCAGAGTTGGTGATATCTCGACAGCACATCCACCATTATCATCACCAAAAATGATGCTCGCAAGCTGCATGAATTTCCTATTCTTTCGAAATGGCAACTAGGTCGGACACTTGCTCAGACATCGAAGCTACCACAAGTCCATGTCGGAGCGTGATCTGGGAAAGGGCATGTAGATCAAGACCAGTGCATGTGCGAAGCAATTCATTCATGGATAGACCAGGAAGCATCACACGACCCCTCTGTACCAGCGTTTCCACGGATGTCTCGAACCGAGCACTTCATGGCGAAGGCAACTGAGTCCGGGCAACGAATTGAGAGACGTTCGAACACTCTACCGACCTTAGACACAGTGAGGAAGTTACCGCTTTCCTTTTTGCACGATAGCATTATGCGTGGTCATGCGATCAGACCAAATGTCATGAACAATCTGGACGATGGACAAATCAATACCGTTGACGGCTTGCAGTCCTACCAAAATGGCAAGCGCGGCGTGAGCGTTGGTGGACAGTGACATTCGATGGAGATCCTACTCAAACCACCTAGCAAGGCAACAATACGAGTCGGCTCAATCCACTGGAGACCCTCAGGCATTATAGAAAAGAAAGCAAACAATCCACGGCTGGCAATATGGTGTGAAGCAAGTTCATGCTGGTGACCGTAAGATGCACAAATGGTTCGGAGCGGATCCTCTGGGTGGATTATACGTTCCCTCAACACCGAAGCGACTGGAGCATCAGGAGCAACCCTGGCCTTCTTGGCTGGCGGTGCGATTGCCATACAATCGTTGCAGCTCATCAGAAAGAAGCAACCCTTCACGAAAGTCCTGAGGAAGCGGGAAATCATAACGATCAGAGGACCATGGGCACAAATCGGGCATGCTCAAACGATAGTTGGCTTCGATGATCTTCGGATGCAAATCAGACCTTACCCAAGCCGAAACCCAACGACCCCTCACATTGTGTGAAAGGTGGTGGCACTCAACTACTTGCTGCCAAATCCTACGAAAACCACCAAGCTTCAAAAGATGCGAAACCAATCCAAAGTGTGGGTGTTTCACTATCTCATCGGCACATTCGAATACCTGTACATTCGGCTGCATGACAAGAATCCAAAAGGCTGCATCTACAAAGGAAAACCCCGCGGGGGGATGCAGTGCCCACCAGATTGGACCGAGCACGAATATGATGGCATACTGAGCAGTCGTTGATTGGCGCGCAAATCCCAACATGGGTGCTAGGGCACCAACAATGTTCTGGTTGAGTCGGACCGTAATGCACCTGTTGAACGAATTGGTGACTCCAGTTTTGCATCGTTCGCGGGCCACTATCGATGAAGTATTGTTGGCCTACAGGTTGGAAATCCTCCTTCCTCCCAATCTCCAAAGCCTGCGACCATCCACAAAAGGAGCCCAAGAACATATGAACAGCAGTGATCGGTTCATGCGTATCCCAAGTCGGAACTACCAAGACAATGGAGTCTCTTGGCATGGCCAAACAATTCGAACCTTTCTCAACCACCATCCCAAAGATAGAAAGGGTGTCTCCTTGTTGACATCGCAAATCGCGTCGGTCCAGATCTTCCACGGAGATCTCCCAAACATCATCAATCAACACAGAAAAGCCCTTCCCCGGAGAAAAGGCTTTCAGTCGCATCCACACTGTAGATCCCAAGTGTCACATACCACTCCCTGGAGAAGCACCTTCCCAGCTATGCGAACAAAAGTGCCGGCACAACTGAAGGAAGTGAATAACTCTTCAAGAGTATGCTTCCAGGGAACCTCAATTTTGGCTCTGATCATCTCAACCAATCGGGGCATCATGATGTCAATCGAGCACTCAACGTCACCAGAAAAGCACTCTTCACAAAGACCGAGCTGCTGGATCTTTGGAGGTCCAACTTGATGGACGATGCACCTATCCGAGAGGATAGCAAGCACCCCTAGGTGGCCCGACACCTTCAGCCGCACGGCTTGGGCCTAGACGGCTTTCTGTCTGTTCTTTTCATTGCATGTCGTTTCTGTTGTTGTCGTTTCTGTTTGTCCTTTTTGTTCCGTTCTTTCTTTCTCTCCTTGTTTGTTCGTTCTGTATGTTCTTTTCATTCATATTAGTTTGTTCTCTTGTCTGTTCTTTATGTCCTTAATTGCTTCCGTTCTCTCTTTATCTCGTTTATTTATGTTGTTTTGTTATGTCTTTTCTTTTCTTTTGTCTTCTGCTCGTTTTTCCCTTCTGTTCTTCTTATCTTCCGTTCTTTCTTTCTGTTCTCTCTGTTCTTTTCATGTTTTTTCTTTTGTTCTATTCTTTTCATTTTTATCGTTTCTTTCCTTTCCTTCCCTTTCCCTTGTGTCTTTCTTTCTTGCGTCTGACTGACCCCGACCGACACCAACTCCAAGCACTGGCGCAAAAAGAGAATCGACTGTTTGTGAATGTCCCGAAAAAGAGCAAATGCAAAAGCCAAAAAAGAACACAGTCGATTCTCTTTTTGTCACAAAAGGGTGTCAAGTCTGCCTCTCTTCGGCACCTCTCACACGTTCTGCGCGCCCAAGGCCACCTCCGAAACCTGCTTTTTCACTCGCCTGGCGATGTGATAGGCACATGTAAGTTATGAATAACACATTCGATGTGTGTTTTTCTATTTGCAACTTTTCTTTGTCTCTCGCCTCAAATACTCGGTCTTGTCCGTGGAGAACATTCGATAAGGTTCCTCCTAAATGACGACAAGACAGACGTCTTTTTCAGGTTTCTAAAACTCTAAGCACCTGCGCTGGTGAAGCAGCATTGGGATTGTCGAGAAGATCCTGAGAATCGGGTTCTCAAGGAGCGCCGGGATGTTGTGGCGTCCAAAACGTTTCACTTCGAGGGCCAAACCTGGATTCCCAAAAGGATCTGACGAATCGTAATCGCAGGCTTCCAATCCTGTCTCGCTGTCCAATGTCACATTCACTTTGCCTAGATCATGCATGTACACAGAGTACAGTTCATGAACCTTCAACTGAAGTGGCTTTTCTGCCCGAGAGAAAAGGCCGCAGCCATGTTTTGACATGGTAGCGGAGCCCGAGGATTGACCGTGGGCAAGCTACGGTCATGAGGGCTCAGGTTTTCACGAAGCCATGGATGGTGATGGCGATGGTGGCCATGCAGGCAAACGAGAGCCACAGGTGATGTCAGACCTGATGGCTGGAGCAAAGCCCAACGAAACGATCCGGCAGCTGACGATGAATTCGACACTTGTCTATGTCCTTGAGGAGCTCGACTACATGTTGGAGCGGCGCTGGCATGGTACCTACATCCTGGACAACCTCAACGAGCAGTTCATTTGGCGACACTTTGTCCTGGACAGCTTGGAGGAGCTCAAAGAGTGGTGGCACCACAACATGGAGAATTTCAGGAAGAAGTTCAATGGCGCCCAGTGAGGCATGGTGGCACTCACTGAAACAAAAGGAGAAAAAGAAGGTCAAGGGGGACCCACTCGAGAAAGAGCACCTCAAGGCAGATGGGAACCCACTCGAGGAGAAAGAGAAAGAAAAGAAGAACCTCATCACAAAGAATGACATGGCGCAGGACGAGGTCGACGAGGAGATCAGAAAGAGCACCATGGAAAAGAAGAGACTGGATGGGCGAATCCAGCGATGGCAACTGGTCGACCAGGAGAATGTCACCTACAAGAACAGGAACTACATCCTGAACTTTGACATCGAGAAGTGCCAGAAGAAAGAGAACAGCAGCATGGTTGACTTCGACAATGAGCAGATGGTGGACTACAGCGAGATCCCCATGGAGAAGATCAGCAACGAGATCTTCAAGGTGATGTGCTTGAGCTTGGCCATCCAGTGCAGGTGGCAGATGATGGTGCTGCTGATGCTTGGGCTGGTGGCTGCAGCCCATGGCTTGGAAGATAAACGAGCTCCAGGCTGGACAACACGACATGAGAGGAGACAATGGCTGTTAGTGAGAGTGAAAGGGAGAGAAAGCAGAACAGAAAGTAGGAAGAGCCACTTGGGTCGCATGGCAAACAAACGGCAGTTCCAGATGTTCATGATGGTGACAATGCTGAGTACAGCAAATGACATGGAAACACAGCAAATCCTACAACAAATGTCACAACTAGCAAGCGCAGCAACAAGCGCAGCACAAGCAGCAACAGAAGCAACACAGGCTTTCACCAAAGCCTCAGGATCAACAACACAAGGTCTTGAGAGTGCAACAAAGATTTTGAAAAGTCCAGACACATTCACGGGAGATGATCCTCTACTTTTCTCATCCTGGAAACTTCAATTTGAATCCTGGCTGAGTTTTGGCGATGCTCGATTTACAGGTTTGTTGATGAAGACAAAGCAAGGAAGTGAACCTGACCACACGGTCTATAGAACAAACAGCATTGGCCAACAAGTTCTTTGCGGTGTTGAGTTCGATGCACGCAGCTGGTCGGAGCCAACCAGCAATACGTTTCAATCTTTGGTTTCAGATGTGCCGAGAATTCCTTCAACCAGGCAGAGATCACTTGCGATAGCCCAGAACTTAGGCCAGTATCCTGGTGAACCAGTATGAGCGGACAAGCAAGGAAACGTATCCCAGTGAGTTGAAAACAGCGACTTTAATCAGGTGTGCACCTCAGAAGCTCAGAGAACATCTACAACTTTCTTTGAGCGACAGATCAACTTATGCTGATGTGCGAGAAGCACTACTTGCCTATGAGAGAACATCCAAGAGTTTCTCACAAGAGCAAATCCTCAAACAGCTCGAGATTCAAGATCCTGGAAGAGCAAGTACAGACAATGGTTTGGCACCGATGGAAGTAGACAGAGTGCAAGATAAAGGTAAAGGCAAAGGAAAGTATGAAGTATAAAGGAAAGCAGAAAGGAAAAGGCAGTTGGTGGCAAGGTGCATGGCCATTCGGTGGTCGTGAAAGAAGTTACAAAGGCCGTGGCAAAGGCAAAGGACGCGGCAAAGGAAAAAGCAAGAGCAAGAACAAAGGCAAGAAAGGTAAAGGCAAACAAAGAGCTACAACACCAACTACACGCAAAACTACAGTGGAGGCAACAACTGCAACATTTGTGGCCAGTCAGGCCACTGGGCAAGAGATTGTCCACAAAAGGTGAACCAAGTGCAGCAACAGCAGATACAGCAACCTGTTGCACCACAAGGTCAACAAGGAGGTGGAACTTCAGCAAGCGGTTCAACTCAGAGCACAATCGCATATCCTCACTCGACCTACAGGTCCACACAGTCACAGTCAACAGTGAGAAGAGTCTATGACATTGGCAACTCAGAGTTTGAAGGAGAAGTAAACATGCTCCAGATCACAGATCATGAGACAGAGTACTACATCATTGATGATGACCTCTTGACGACTTCAACCCGAACTTCAACGACGTGGGATGATGACTCTCATCAATGGTTTAACCACAAGCTCGACATTGACGACCATGGACATTTCATGAATGGTGAATTTCATTCCCATGGGCGAGCAGACCAACGAGTTCGAGTAGTTCTTGAAGAGATCCCAGAAGAGGACTTGGAGACAATCATCCTGGACAGTGGTTCAGATGTGAGCTTACTTCCCAAGAAGTTCTACAGGGAGGACAGAGATCTTGGCAACCAACATCGACTACAAGATTGCCAAGGAAGAAGGTTGAATGTGGCAGGAACTCGAGAGACAGAGATCGAGGTGATGGACGCTAATGGTGAAATGGTCACACTTCGCCACAGGTTCCTAGTTGGAGAAGTCACAAGTTGTTTGTTGAGCCTTGGACAACTGCTGAAGAGCGGTTGGACTTTGAACCATGACGAGCACCAGAAGAACAAACTCCTACTATGCTCACCAGACCGAGAAGCAGCAATCCCAGTGGGATATCGTGGTATGTCCCTAGCCATTGAAGGCACTGTGAGGAAGATTGAGAAAGAGAACACAGTAGCTGAAGATGATGATGAACCTCAGATTCGACTACACGTTCGCAAGATGGTCCAATCAAAAGAAGGACATGGCATCGAGACAGAGCCGAACAATCTATGGAGGCATTGCGACGCAGAGATGGTATTCATCAAGTCTTTGTCGAACAAGTTCTACGACACCAAGACGACTTGGGGTGAACGATTCACATTCAGAAGCACTTTCATCCGAGAACTCAACGAACTTCCCGGACCAGCTCGGAGATGGCAAATGGTTGAATTCTGCGAGGACATTTCCAAGAAGGAGAACAGGAGAACATGACTGAGAACATCCCAGAGTGTGGCGGCAGCAGTTGGCTTGTTTTGACAATAGCCAGTGGAGACTACTTTGACTTCGACAAACTCTTCGACATTGTGGATGAGGATGCATTGAACCCAATGGTTGGAGCAGCAGAGAAAGAAGCAAGAGCACGACGTGAGCTTGGACTTCATGAAGAACAACAAGATGAAGCATTGGCATCAAAATGTGAGCCAATGGAAGTGGCAACAGAAGTGGTTGTGAATGAGATGACATTGAGTCCCTATTCAGCAATAAAGGACTTACGTGCAGCAGCAAAGTGGCTTGGAGTGTCAACCGCAGGTTCCAAGCAGAACATTATCGACAGGCTGAACACCATCAAGAGAGAAGAACGAAGACAGGCAACATTGCTAGCACAAAGATGATCAACCGGTGAAAGATCAACGACTTCCCCCACCTTCGAAGCTTGAGCGGAGATTGCACAACCTCACTCACCTACCATACAAAGCTTGGTGTGATGTTTGCGTGATGGCTAAAGCCAAGGACAACAGCAAGAAGAGAAGCTTTCCAGCACCCAGTTCAACAAGAGAATTTCCTACAGTTCAGATGGACTTTGGAACAGTGTCGCACGGTGTTTGCTTTGGACGAGCACAGATCCAAGTATGAGCGAAGATGGCTCAGAGGAGGTTGGCTTGGCAAAGATGGAGCAGATCAAGACATAGTTGCATTTGAAGGAGAGAGATTGGTAAGGACACGAGCAGTTTGACTTTGTGCCAAGGAGTATGACAAGGAGCTACTCATTAGCCTCGCGAACTCCAGAAACTTTGAAGAAAGCTGCAACACATGGCATGATGAAGGTCAAGTTGAGAGAATTACAACCTCCAGAACCAGTTCAGATCCAGATGAGAAGGCAGTTCAAGACTACCGTGAATAACATCCTGAAGGAAGCAATGAAGAGGAGTACACTCCAAGTGACCCAGGCAGGGCAAGGAAGGAGATGAACAAGTTGCAAAGAAGCCTCGACTCGAAGCTCCAGAAGACAAAGGAAGTAGCAGTTCAGGAGCAATGGACACATCACAGCAAAAAGAATTGAGAATACATCCTCTTGAAGGAGGAAGTGAAGAAGAACCAGCAAAGGCATACAAGCACTCTTCAGAACACACAGCAAAAGCAGCTCGGACAGGAATGTACAGTCCGACATTCGCCGGAGACATCCGACAAGTTCAAGAACACTATGTAGATGAACAAGCTGATCTACTTGAAGAATGGCAGTTTGATGAGGAGTCACATCCAGAACTCGACATCGAGCTGGATTTCTCAGAGAAGCTCATTGACAGAGAAGAACGAGATGGAGCTCCAACAGCGAGCGACGACATGCTAGCACAGTTAGATCTAGAAGCAACACTCGAAGAGATCGAAAGGCTACAGAAGCTAGAAGTGTTGGCAGTGGCAGATCCTGATGAGACAGAAGAAGCATTGATTTTGGGCGCGACGTGTGTTTTTGACTGGTGGCAAGTGGAAGAGAAGATGTAGAATTGTTGCCAGAGAGTACAGGACATCCAACACAGATGAAACACAATTCAGTCCAACACCAATCATTGGCAATCTTTAACCTGCAGCTCCATGTGGACGCATTCCTCAGTGTTCGACAGCGAGAACTAGTAGAAGTGATTGTACCACAATGGGTTCAAGAGCTTGGAGAGAAAGATGCAACAGGCAATCCACTGCTGAAGGCTGAGAAGTGGAAATTGCTGAAGTGCCTACCAGGCCAGAGAAAAGCAGCACTCAGATGGAGTGAACACTTCAAAGATGTAGAGAAAGCAAGATTCCAATGTAGAACAGTATGAAACAGCAACATGTTCAGATTCAACAGCGGTGAAACGAATCCCTCCTACATCAAGAAGATGGTGGAACTCTTAGAACAGGATTTTCCGATCAGGTCTCGGACTAGCACTACGACACCTGGCAAGCTACCTGAATGGAACACAAGAAGCAGGAGCCTTCAACCTAGAAGCATTCACAGATGCCAATTGGGCAGGATGCAAGGTTTCAAGAAAATCGACGACATCCTACATGATTTTCATGAACGGCAATCTTTTGATTTCCTCGTGCAAGCTGCAAAGCTCAATAGCATTATCAAGTGCGGAATCAGAACTCTATGCAAGTTGCAGTGGCATCCGCAATTTGTGGATCCATTCGCTATGACCAATCGCTTGTGCAGGGTTCCAACAGCAATTGACCCGTCAGATCTGAACACCAAGAAACTTTCACAAGAACGAAGAAAGAAGCTGATGGCTTTGATCCCCATAGGATTTCAGACTGGCGAGATAGAGAACATTGAGACAAAGAAGACATTGGACAGCAGATCACTCCAGAAGATTTTGAGAGTCCTACTAGCAAGCAGCAGCTGTTTTCTACAGGGCTGTGAGCGCACCTTCCTGACAGGTGGAGACACTTCACTGGTGGACTACCTCACGATCAAGAACATGGTGATGGCAGCATTGACATTGCTGATTGCCTACCTGATCTATGCGATCAGATTGCAGCAAGTGCAGCTGAGATTCTCACAGAATGTTTTCGACGAGTTGACGCGGCGACTACGACCAGATCGACATCTTTGACGACCAGGAGATCCTAACAGTTCTTCATCCTCGACATCAACTTCACAGGAGAGCGGACCTTTTACGTCAGGCATCACTCCAAGAATGACACCTGAAGATGCAATGAGGTTAGGATGGCGACCTCCACTTCACGTAGGAGCACTAGCAGAACTTGGTGAAGAGTACGTAGCACTACAAGGTGTATGGCAAGACATTGATCCATCAAGATTCCAGAGAGGACTGATGAACATATTTCCCCTTCCTTTCAGGCGAGCAGGAAGCAGCGGCAGGAACCACAACGACAAAGCACAAGGAGAACATGATCAAGATCTACCAGATCAACATGAACAAGTTCCAGAAGAAGAAGAACCTCTTGGAGAGGAACCAAGTCCAGAACAAACTTTGAGTCAACCTGGACAAGAACGATTTGATGTTTTTACACAAGCTGGACAGAGTGGTGATCAAGAAGAAGCAGCACATGGACCAAGAAGACGACTACAACAAGAAGCTTCACATGGAGCAATGAGACCAGATGACATTCCAGAACCAGAACCAGAAGGAGAAGACAATGAACTTCATCCTGGACACCATGGAGATGAGCACCTACATGGACAAGTTCGACGAGTACAACAACATGGTCATGGAGAAAGTGAACATCAATGGAGAAAATCAAGAAAGTAATGAACCAATGAGGCAAAGCACCTAGAGATCTCAAGTGATAGTTCACGAGAATGGCCGGATTTTGATCCAGATTCAGAAGGAGATCGACAAGCAGAAGCTCACAACAGAGCACAAGATGTAGATGATCAACATTGGATGGCACTTGAGGAGACAGGCAAACGCATTGGTGAAATGATAGCTGACAGCAGCAATCACTACAACGAGGACGAGCTCTACGACATGATTCCCGATGACCAGGAGACCTTCGACTGGTATCGACAGCAGATGCTGATGAGAGGAGAAGGAGTTGAAACTCACCTAGTTCATGCAGGACATGAACTGGCAGGTTTGATCAACCAGATCCTGGAGACAGAGAGTGGTGTTGAATGGAGAGTGGTGTTTGGCAGATTGCAGATCTTACACAAAGAGATCTTGGAAGCAATTGATGATTGTACAACTCCAGAAGGATGCAGAAGAAGCTTCAGATTCATCAAGAAGCTACAAAGGTTGGAAAGAGAAGCGATTGAGAGAGCAACACACGACATGGATGCAGCTGGAAGCAACGAGTCCCTGAATTCGCTAGAGCGATATCAACGAGGAGAAGGACGAGATGCTGAACAAGAACTTCGAGGCATAGAGGAAACGATGCTTCAGGTGCTACCAGAAGAAGTACATGTCATTCCTGGAGAGCACAGCATGGCAGGATTGGCACTCAGTGCAGCTGGAACAGGCATCCCGACAGACCGCATTCGAGCTGGACTACAGGATGGTGAACCTCAGGAGAATGACTTTCATGGAAGTCTCTGAAGACGATGATGACATGAGCCCGATGACGCTGAGAAAGACGGCTAGCGCTGAAGTGAGACAAGCTTTTTAAGCTTTGGTGGTTTCAGTCAAGAATAGCTTCTGGCCACCTAGCTTGCTTGTAGAGAAGAGAAAAGTGTGGAAGCGCTTGGACGCACATCCACAAGGCAGGGTGTCACATTCACTTTGCCTAGATCATGCATGTACACAGAGTACAGTTCATGAACCTTCAACTGAAGTGGCTTTTCTGCCCAAGAGAAAAGGCCGCAGCCATGTTTTGACAAAAAACTGAAATCAAAAGGAAAAAAAAGAGAAAAACTTGACAAAAAACCAGAAACGGTTCGGAACAAAGAGGTCGCCTCATCTTCGTTGAGGATACTGAGGCAAACGGTCCCCGAAGGATACACGTTTGGATGGAATAGCGGCTTGCCATGTACCTCGAAGAAAAAAATCCCGTTTGTGTCCTTCTGACAAAATTCACTTGTTAGAGATGCGCTTGAGACATATATACACATAGAAGCTACTAGTAACAAGTGCATCGTTTCTAGTAACAAGTGCCTTACTTAGGAACAATGTTTGCTAGTAGAAACAAAAAAATAAAAAAATAAAACACTTTATTACTAGTAGTAAGGCACTAATTACTACTAGTAAGGCACTTTGTTTCTTAGAAACGATGCACTTGGTTCCTAGCGTTCTTCATTCGCCGACGTGCGAATTGCTGCGGCGCACGTGTGCGAATTTGCACTTCGGCGGTTTGCTGGGATAGTCCTCTGTGAACTCCATGGTGAGAGCATATGTGGCGCCCTGAAAAAAAACGTCTATTTTCGATTGAAATAAAAAACAATAAAACAATGTCGTAAACATATCCGAAAACCTAAGAGGAAAATCAATGGCCAATGGCCTCCCAAGGGCCCTTCGCTCTTCCTGGAATACCACAATTCCACTTGAAGACCTCAAAAGGTACAAAAAAACGAAATGATTTTGACTAAACCGTTTGTCTTTCCTTGTTTGCTTCAGAACAATTTGGCATCTTTGGATCGGCACGTTCTGTCCCTTGCCGTCTTCGTTGGGCGCATACCTGAACAAAAATGTATCAAAAGATATCAGCGAAAAGAACAAATATCAAAATTCCAACGGAGAATTCGCACTTCGCGTAGAATCCAAAGGGGTGATCCTTCTTGAACGCTGCACGTTCCTCGAAAAATGAAACGAATCGATTTTCTGAGATTTTCTGAGATTGCTGGACATTGTCCTGCGCAAGGCGCTTTGATGCAAAGCTGGCCATGGCTTTGCAGGGCCCAAGCCGCCGGTCCGCCGCTAACAGCCGCCCTTTTTGGATCCCTTGAGAGGCAAAGCAAACTCAAACGACACGCTTTGGAGACGCAGAACAAATAGCGGCTCGAAGGTAGAAAAACAACGCAAGTTTCCACGTACCACACCAGCCTTTCTCCACCCATTGTCCTTCTTCGGGGCTGGCATTTGCTGCACTTATCCACCAATTTCGCCAATACGTTTGGACACCAAAGGCATAAAACAACAATAAGGCAAAAAAGGCGTTGGAATTGAATTGGAGACGGGTGTTTGCCATAGGATCATGGGATGACATGGCATGAGGGATTGGTGAAAGGGATTGAAGAAAAGAAAGGCGGTTCTTGCAGGTTGGATGCGCTTGAGTTTTGAGATAGGAATCTTCAGGTTTGGGGATCATGAAATATCGATATATTCAACAGTTGATTGTATCTTTTTTGAAAGCGGTGAACCATGAAAAATATGTGTGTGGCCTCCAACCTACTTGCGATGGCCTCCATTCTAATACGGATGGTCTCAGGTCCAATTCAAAATTCATTAAAAACACATTATATCTCTCTTCAATTTGTGACCATTTATATACATATTGAACTTCAAGACATCTCGTATACTGCCAACTTTTCTCTTTCCACCATTCTTGGCGTCACGCGCATGGAATAGGATCCTGCAAGGCAACCTGAAGTTGGTCGGAAATTGAATATCCGGTCTTTTGGAATCTTCGTGTGGAAGTCTTTCTCACCAGCAAATGCCCTCTGGTGATCAAATCCTTTTGCCACAAGACTTCGAAGCCTGAGTCACTGAAAAACTCGACCAAGGCATCCATTGAAGGAAAGAACTTGTTTGTTCGGTCATACGTGACTCTCCCCTCTGGATTTGTGTGTGCATAATACTGAATAAACTTCACCCAGTTGTAGCTTTCCATACTCAAATTTGCTGGCGGCAGCTGTGCCAGTTGCAAAGTCTCTGTGATTGCCGTCTCTATCGCAGCAACTGCGCCAACCTTCAACAAAAGCCACAAAACATCAATCATCACAATTGGGTGCCGGAGATGATACAGAACGCCAGACATGACGATGAGATCAAATGAGTTGTGTTCAAAAAGACTGGCAAGTTCATAACCTCGAGTTCGCACAAAGGTCACTTGTGAAGAGAGCAGCTTGTGTAGCTGCTGGAAGCCAAAATGCGTTGGTGGCATGATGTCAACTGCGTAGACCGTTTTAACGCCGTGCCGCTCGAGCTCAAATGCGACACAGCCATTCACGGTCCCAATGTCCATGGCTTGCAAGTCCTCTTTGCCTTTGGCAGTCTCATTTGTCAAAGCTGCGCTCAAGGCCCTCTCTCCTAATTCCAAAGCCACTTTCGTATTGCCATTCAATTGCACTTTCCCTGGAACCAAATCCCAAATTATATGATTCTGAAATGTGGTCTTGGCCAGAAACTCCTCGGCTTCTGTCGCTGATGGAATTCTCATCGGAGTTGCGCTCGGTGAAACACAAATACGTTCCGCCAACAAACTTTGCTTACTCTTGGAGCAGCAGTCGACTCTGTCGTCCTGTTTGTCGACTCTGTCGTCCTTGCTCTTTGCAAAGCTGGTAGCACTTTCGTTGGATCTGCCTAGTTCTGGGGCCAGCCGTCCAATGCATGGGGAAGGGCGCAACAAAGCCGCACCTTGCAGAAGTATCACTACCACTGCCAAAAGGCTACAAGCTTTCCAACCTGGTTGCATCATGAAAGAACACCACTAAGAGTTTGAGCCATCTCAAGAATGAACTTGAAGAATTCCACGAAAAAATACCGCCACAATTTGTTTTTGCACTTGTTCTTTCGAACATCGCTTGGGTTCTTCGAAAAACTCGAGTGGGACATTACTAGGCGGCGAAACTAGTTTCTTAAGGGACAGACTTGTTTGGAACTTGTTCGCTACTCTACTGGACGCAGGATAGCTGTTCATGTAGTTCCCAAATGATTTCGCTCAATCTCAAGGGCGATCATGTCAGATATTGAGGTGAAACAAAAACGATCAAAATCATTGATCTGTGAAACTTTGACTGCGAGCAGGGCCCTGACTTGGTCAAACTACAACATCTTTATAGCGGCGCTTTCAGTGCATATCGCACACGTGGAAAGTAACATTTGGAAAGCAACTGTGAACTTGACACCATACTGCTTTAACATAGAACGTACTATCGAGAGACACAACAAACTCATGGCATACATGACCCTCTACAAAACTTGCATTTTTTCCAATTCCACGCAAAAACCGTTTGAAAACGTGCGTTTTTCTTCTTCTTCTTTCGACTCGTGTTGACTTGTCTTTGTGGGTCATGTGGCACTCCGTCACCTTCTCGCTCAGGTCGTGTCGTGAGACCCACCATTTGGCACGTACCAAAACCTCGACTGGAGGAGAGACAGTCGGAAAATGGACGGCCATGAGAGAAACTTTAAGAATACGGGAAAAAACGGTCAAGAGATATCAACAAATGTTGTTCGTCTTGTTGTTTTTTTGTGTTCGTTAAAGAACCGTTAGCTTGAAATTGAGGCATGAACAGTACAGCAATCACCGCATAGGCGGCGCAAAGGAGGTAACCTTGAAGCCAGTTTGACCTGAAGGTCCCGCTCAGCGAAGCTAAACATGTCAAAGGCGTCAATCAATTTTGTCGGAACAACAACCAACTTCATTTTCTCCATCACCATCTTCGTCATCACGTGATAATAGTGTGTAGATCACCATCACGTGTGAAGACCGTGTGAAGATATCGGTGTGCGCAAGTCAACATACACAAATGTACACTTGATGTGGGGGCCCAATTGCAAGCCGGGGTACCGAAGTGTTACGCGCACCTCACAGCCCACATGCTGGGTGTGCAATGCTGAAGCTGCCCCCAAACTATATCTACAAGCAGGCATCTTGTTTATGGAAATGGGCAAAAACATGAGACGAAAACCAAGGCCAGCCCCGAACAAAATAAAACTACTTTCGTTCATTCTTTAGCCTTTCTGTGGCTCTATCTTTCTGTCTCTTCAGCTGGTCTCTCTGTATCGCTAGCTCTTTCACACTCTCTCCTCTTCTATCCATCCACCCATTCACCCTGGTCAAACGAGCCTTCCATTGACCTATCTACACTCTATATACATCCATCTTTGCACATCTTCCACCTGTCATGCCGCGCACACGCAGCAGTACCCGCGACACTCTGGTCGGCATGGCACACACAAAGCGAAGAACCCCAGTGAGTGAATTCATCCATCATAACTATTCAGGTCAAATGCCCACGCGTTCAGTTTCTGATCACGTCCCTCGAGCAAGAGGCCTGCGGACCGATTCAAACCAACAGTCTGTATATATGGCCGCGCTGCTCGTATAGATCCCTGCGGGGTTGCCTTCCCGCAGCGGTGCGCCCAAACAGCATCACGCCATCCTGGGACGACCTTCTGGTCATGGACGGAAACAACGACGCTGCACGCCCTCTTCACCTTTTATTGAGCATAGTCAGGAAAGCGTCAACCAAAAGGCAGCAGATTCCAGCGACAAGTGCATCCGATAAAAATAACGGCCATCTCGACATACCCAGACAGAGTCTCAACTTCCATCTGGTCGTTAAAGTGGAAGCGTCGGTTTCGCCAAATTGTTGCTTTAGCTTACTTGCCGTGATTGGGTCGAACACACGGGATCCAATTGAATCCAGACTCAGACGGATTCCAACCCCAGAGCGGAAAGCGTGTGGAAACATCAGTAGCATCCTAGGGTTCGGATGAACCGTGGGCTTAAAGCAGTTACAGGTCCAAGTTATACAACCATTTACAAGACTGGTTGTAAACTGTTATAACTACTTACAAGTATGCTAAATGGTTGAAAAACTTAGCATAAATGATGTTAAGTTGTTGTAAGGTTTATAGAACTTACGACTTCAAGTTGCTAAGCGTTAAAGAAGTTATACTATAGTATACCATGTTATACCGTACTTGTCCCGTATATAGAAGTATGTTTTAAATACACTTACAATGCCTACTATAACCTTTACAACCTTTACAAACCCACGGCTCATCCCAGCATGAGTTCCTCTTTTGCGCCGTAGAAGTTCTTGACCGCAAGTTCGTCGCCTATCGTCTTGTTAGGCTGAGTGGGCGACAAAAGCTGACGAACATAATTAAACGCTGACGAACATAAACTTCGTGATCCAAGGCAACAAACGCCTTCATATGGGCAGGCGCATGCTCCAGAGCTGTACGTCTAGCAGCTTCATCTGCAAGACGGTTACACACCCAGCGTCTCTGAAATGGCCTCAATGGGCACATCATCGCACGAGTGGGCCTTGAGCCAAGTAAGACGAATAGGCTCAGGATGGGTTGCAATACGTTGAACCCAGCACTAAAAAATTCGTTCCCACCAAACAGCCTTACTCCGCTTTGGCGCATGTGGACTATTGTCTGGCAGTCGGTAAAGATATGAAAACATGTGTGACCCAGAACAGCGTACAGTTCCGTTGCATAGGAGCTCAAGCTGATGCAGTTGAGACGTCCACGCTGAATGCACGCTTCATTTCCATCTATAATGGCTTCGAAGCACCAGTGGCAGTTCTCCCCCAGCTGTCCTTTGCGGCTGTTATCTAGTTCTCAACGATGTCCAAACTGAAGGCGCAACCGGCCACACTGGAGATCCAAAATGATTGTTTTTACGCTCCTCACCCCCTGTTATGTTGAATCCCAGACTGCTCGCGCCTATACGGCTCCGCTTAATGTTTGGCGGCTTCTCCGCGCTCATCATGAAATGATCGACAAGTTGAATGACCAGTTTGATGCGTGTGTGGCCGTCAAACATTCGCTGCTCTACAACATCACTCGCGGCTTTGAGCTCCCCTGAGCATCGAATATTGATTACAATCAATATTCTCAAAACCCTTTTGATTTAGCTTCAAAATCAATATTGGAGAAGTGATTTTTTGATTTTGAAATCAATTGTGAAAACTAGGAAGAAAAATCAAAATAATCAATATACCAAAACACACTAGAAAAATTAAAAGCAATATTATCAAACAATTCAAACAGGTCCCAG